CACACACACACACACATACACACACACACACAATACATACACACAGACACACAGACACACACACAGACACACACACACAGACACACACACACATACACAACACACACACATACACACACATACACATAACACACACACACACACACACACACACACACACATACACAACACAACACACACACACACACACACACACACACACACACACACACACACACACACACACACACACAACACACACACACACACACACACAACACACACACACACACACACACACACACACACACACACACACACAACACACACACCACACACACACACCACACACACACACACACACACACACACACCACACACACACACACACACACACACACACACACAACACACACACACACACACACACACACACACACACACACACACACACACACACACACACACACAACCACACAACACACACCACAACACACACACCACACACACACACACATTTTTGCATTCAAGTAAGATTAATACGCGCGTCATACGGCCACATGGTCTTGCCCGTTGGGCCCGTGCAAGAAGACATGAACGTGCCCACAAGACGCATACACAATGTTTGTGTGTCCTCTGAAGACTGCCGTTGATAAGACTCATGACAAGATTTATATGTCATCACCATATATGACCACCAACTACAGCCCAGTATGCCAAGTTGACATGCCCAACCCAATGGTATATTACTTAAGGGATGACGTGGCCGAAGAATAGCGAGCGAGCGGGCACCTATAATTAGCGTTTGGCTTCCTTCCCGAAAAAAAAAAAAAAAAAAAAAAAAAAAAAAACTCCCTTGTTGAGGTCGAACTAAATGAGGTGAAGCACCTTCCTGCTTCTCTCCCACCAGAGCTCGGAACCATTTCGGCCTATGCCGATGACGCAACCAAGATTACCCGCATGCAAGGCCGCCTCCGTGACCACGCTGCATGGTGGTCCGCCTAGTGCGACAGCCGCTTGATTCTATCGGTGATTACATCTGGATATCGCCTACCATGGGTTGCCTCTGAGCCCCCCCCGTCTCGTACTAAGAATCATGCCGGTGCCTTGCAATTCACCTCTTTCGCAGTAGGTCCAGTGGCCGAGCTTCTCGCCACCGGCGCAGCTCGAGTCGTACCTCCTTCCGCAACCCTTACATGCGTTAGCCCGTTAAACGTGATTGTCCAACCCTCTAAAAAGAGGCTGATATTGGACTTGCGGCATGTCAACTCATTCCTCTCGGTACCTCGTTTTCGATACGAAGAACTTACTCGCTTTCCTGATTTGGTGCAAGAAGGCGATTGGCTATTCACGATCGATCTCAAATCCGGATACCACCACGTCGACATTCACCCCACCTTTTGGCGGTTTCTTGGATTCTACCTGCAAGGGCAGGACTACCAATTCCTCTCCTTGCCTTTCGGCTGGCTACAGCGCCATTTGTGTTTACCCAGTTAATTAAGCAACTCTCCAAACGCTGGCGTAGCCGTGGCATCCGCCTTATTCCATACGTCGTGATATCCTATTCATCAGTGCCACTCGAACAGAGGCACTTCACAACCGCTCCATAATCATCGCTGAACTCGCAGCCATGGGCTTCGTTGTGAATTTCAAAAAATCACAACTCGTGCCGGCACAATCTTTGAAGTTCTTGGGCCTCTTGCTGGACACGCGCACCACCACATTCTCTGTCGATGCAGATCGGCGCAACCGGCTGTTTGCCGAGCTGGATGAATTAGGCACACTCGGCGCTAACGGGCGTCGCATCCCTGTTTGCCGCGCTGCCCGCATCACCGGCATGTTGGCCTCCATGTCCTTGGCACTTGGCACTGTCGCGCGCGCCTTCTCCCACGACCTTCTCGCGCAGATCGCCGAATGCCACTCATGGGGGGCGGCCATTCTCCTAACCCCTGAGTCTGTTGAAGAGCTGCGTTTTTGGCTTACACAGTTCGACGTTTTCAACGGCGCCCGCTTCCACAACCCGCATTTGTACGACGTTGTCATGTACGTGGATGCTAGCGACCATGCTTGGGGGGCTTGTTACTTCCGCGCCGGATGGTCGTGTCAGCTCGCTCTCCTCCCCGCTGCCTCTAGCCCTCTTGGGCTCGTCCATTACCCTTCGCGAGCTGGCCGGAATCTTTTGGTCCCTTTCGGCCTTTTCTGTCCAAATCCGGCGTTCGCACATCTTGCTCCGCAGCTACAGTCAGGCGGCCTACTACATCCTCCAGAAGGGATGCTCTCGCCGTCCTGAGCTTACCTTTGTATGCCGCACGATTATTCAATTGTGCGTGCACCATATGATCCGTCTCACGGTCCAATGGATTCCCCGTGCGTTGAATACCGAGGCCGATGGTCTGTCCAAGATTGAGCTCCACGACGACTACTCCTTGACACATCCTTGGTTCTTGCTGCTTGAGAAGCATTGGGGGCCTCATATCATCGACTTGTTCACATCCCCTGCCAATGTGCAGCTCGCTCGTTTCTGCTCCCTCGAGTTCTCACACTTTGCGGTTGCGCAAGATTCTCGTGTCCTCATCCCGGCTGTCCTAGCTCATGCCCGTCGCTCGCGCACTTCTCTCACTCTCGTGATCCCATATTGGCCCAGTGCTTTTTGGTGGCTTTGCTAAGCCTGGACGGCTTCACTTGGGGCCCGGAGGTCGTTATGGCCCTTCGCCTTACCCTTGGTGCTAGTTGTTTACGCGTTGGCAGTGACCGTTATGCCTTTAGCGGTGCCGGTCTTCTGAACTCTCCGATGTATGCGTTTCGTTTTGCATTCAACTAATGTATAATTTTATTTCACTGCGCAGGCTCATATACTGGTCGATTATTGTCGGACCTTCTCACACTCACCGTCGATCTTCGGGCAAAGTCTACCCTTCGCACTTATGAACCCTATTGGCGACAATTTCGAGCCTTCTGTTTGGCGCACTCACTTCCCTTCCTTTCCGCCACCGACCTCACAGCGGCCCTCTTTCTGCTGTACTCGGTCCGTCGCGGCGCTACCGTCTCAGCTGTGCGCACTACGTGTTCCGCCATATCCTGCGCCGATTGGCTGGTCGGCCACCCCCTCGATTTGTGGCCCCTTTTCTTCGCAAGTCAAGGATTATGCCATGCGTCATTATGGCAAGCCATCTCAAGCGAAGGAGCCCATTCCTCCAGCCAAGATTTACGATATCTATGACCTCTACTTCTCATCGCATGATCCGGCCACATTCCAACGGGGCCTTATTCCCCTCCTCATGTTCGCAGCCTTCCTTCATTTCTCTGATCTCATCTCCCTCCAGTGGCACCAGATCGAGTTCGATTGGGACTGCATGTGGCTGTTCATCCCCGTTCGAAGACCGACCAAGCTGGCACCGGTGTTTGGGTCCCAGTGGCTGCTTCTTCTGCCCGCCTCTGTCCGGTGTCGCGTGTCCAACAGCTCCTCTTTCTGGCTGGCTATTCTCGGCGGACCCTTGGCCCCCTTATTCATTTTCAGCCGTGAGCCGAGCTTCCCCCTCAGATCGCCCTCCTCGTACGTCGCCATTCGGGGTTGGTGTCGAGATGCTTTCTCCCGTGTCGGTCTCAACCCAGCCCTCCTGGGCACCCATTCTTTCCGCAAGGCAGCTGCGACAGTCGCCGTTGATGTTGGAGTCCCCGACCGGCTTTTCAAGGCCCTCGGCTGCTGGCGAAGTGATACAGCCAAGGAGCTTTACATTACTCAGCTTGACCGCAAGCTAGTGGCCACTTCTCGCACGCTACAAGTTCCTACTCACTCGAGCGCGACAGATCGGTACCAGGCCACCCTCGAGCGCCACCGCCGACGACCTCCCACTTGATGTCTCGTTTGACCTATGACGACTGCATTGCACACTCCTCTGAGGTCGTGTCACAATATGAGAATTTTTTGTAATAAGAAATTTACAGATTGTGATTTGACTAGAAGAGGAGTTTGCTGTAAAGGAGACAAACTCCTTCATGTATCGGCAGGTCTTTCAGACCTGCCACCTAGTCTCATTTGCATTTTTCTGTTCCAACTTGCCCACCCTTCCCTCCCTCGCTTTGATAAGTAGCATGGCTGCTCACCCTTGTTCCCTTGCCATGTATTTGCCCTATCTAGTATGCTGTATTATGGAGCTATGATATGCTATGACGACTGCACTGCACACTCCTCTGAGGTTGTGTCACAATCGTACCGTAATCTCCCGGCAATGGGCCCTAGTGTCAAACATATATTGTATGTTTCTGTAGACTATATAGGGTTGTGCCTTAGGGAGTACAACCCATTAGGTTATATTCCCTTGTACCGTAATCCCCTGCATATAACACCCGCCGAAATAGTCACTCGTGGTGGTTTGCGGGGGAGAGCTTATGATAGGGTGCATTTTGGAGAGCACCCGCTTTTCGGGGTTGCATTCTACATAACACCCCTGCTCATTTTATGCAGCAAAGAATAGTATTCCGTCGTTTTTCAAACTCCTCTCGATTGAAAAAAACAAGCAGGATGGAAAATGCAATGTTAACTACCATTAGCAGCGAAAAAAACGGGCAGAAGAATCAACACAAGTTGCAGCGCGAAATGGAAACGTCAGCGAAGGTTGAGATTTGGGAGGCTTTCAACTGTCGAAGTCGTGGATTCTGCTGTGATTTGACGGTCAAAATCCTCCCGATCGAAATCCTCTCAGGTCTTGACGGTCGCAGGTGCGGCACAAAGCTGGCCCAGACCACAGCACTCAGCAGGGATTGGCCAATGACACCTGGTTCGTAAGTTTCGTCTCAGCGGATGATATGTCTTGTTAACAGCCGCTCCGTGCAGTTGTGAGCTAACATGGCCCGGAACACTCAAATTCAAATTGCATTTTACATAACAAATGGGCACTATATTTTTCCGGCCACTGTTAAGACCCTGTCATTTTTTTAGTGATTATATATATACACCATAGGGCCTTATATACGGGGGATTACGGTATACCTTGTCCTAGATATTCTTTCACTTGAACTTGGTATCATGAGTGGGTAGGTCCCCCCCCCCACCCCCTAGCGCTTCCGCCCTAGGTCCTAGCCGCCTCGTCGCCCCGTGGCCCCGTCCCCTAGCGGCCCGCTGCCCCGTCACCTCGGGGCCACGCGGCCCCGTCACCTCGCCCCCCCCCTCCAGCCGGCCCCGACTCCCTGCCGGCCCCGCCTCTTTGCCGGCCCCGACACCTTGCCGCCCGCGGCCCCGTCTTCTAGACGCCTCGCCGCTGTCCTCGCCGCTCTGCACTGCACTGCACCGCACGGCACCGCACTGTACCGCATGGCACCGCACTGCACCGCTCTGCACCGCATTGCACCGCCCTACACCGCATTGCACTGCACCCTACCGTACTGCACCTCCCTCCACCGCACAGTACCGCACTGCACCGCACATCACCGTTTTCCGCCGCGCTCTCCTGCCCAGTATTGTCTTTCTCCTGCTGCTGCAACCATGATGGCGGACTCGGTCCTGTGTTTTGATGCTGAGGGGCAGCCGATTGAGTTCGACTCGTGGCTCGTCGACCTCCAGCGACACCTGACTGGTCAGCGGCAGGACGACCACTCCCTGGCCGTCCACATCGACGGTACGCTCCCCTGCCCAGAACCCCCTGCTGCCCTCCCCGCTGACCCCACCTCTGCTGACCGTGAGTCCGCTGCAGCTGCTGCCCTTGCCCATGCTGTCTGGTTGTCGCGTGACGCTGTCGTACAGCTTGCGATTAGTCATGCCCTTCCCCTGTCCGAGCGCCCCGCTTTAGGTCCGTCAGGACTGCGCAGGAGTTCCTAGAGGCTGTTGTGCGCGCTATTCCACCCCGTCCTATGCCTCTGTAGGTCGCCTGATCCTACCCATGCTCTTTCTTGACCTTGCGTCTTTCCCCACTGTCGCTGACCTAGCCGCCCACCTGCACATGCTAGACATGACCTGGCGTGCTGCCTGCACTGAGGCTCATTTGTGTGTTTCAGCCCCCCACCTGCTCTTCCTTCTACCTGCTTGCCACCCGCCTCCTTGACCGCCTTGCCACCGCCCGCGATCACTTCCTTAGTCTCCAGCCCGCTGACTTCACTCTTACTGACTTTGTCGACACCGTGTCTGCCATAGAGACCCGTCAGAGCTCTATCGCCCAGTCTAGTGATACCGTGCCAGTCTCTATCTTTCAGGGCTGTGCCCCAGCTCAGTGCTCTTACTCCGACGGTTCTGCTGCGGCTGCTGAGACAGCTCCGGCTGAGGAGACAGCCGCCGCCGTGCAGTTTCGTTCGGGTAAGGGTCGCCGCCCCAAGGCTGGGCGCGACGGACGTAGCGGAGGAGGGGGTGGTGCCGGTGGTGGAGGTGGCTCGCCCGCTGGTAATACTGACGAGGGGGCTGGGGCTAGTGCCACGGAGCAGGAGCCCCAGCAGCAGCAGCAGCAGGCTCCGAAGCTGGACCAGTAGTAGCAGCAGCAGCAGGCGCAGCAGCAGCAAGCGCAGCAGCAGCCGCAGCAGCAGCAGCAGTAGCAGCGGAGGGTCGGCCGTCTCCCGCCCGGGTGGCTTGGAGCTGGAGGTGATGGTGGTCGAAGTGGTTGCTCGCGCGGCGTGTCGTCGGGTGGTAGTCAAAGTGACGGGCGATGCCAGTACCAGCTCCAGACCAGTCCTTGCCGCGGCCTCGTGTGCGGTAAGATCGGCCATACCCCGCTCGTTGCTTTCGTCGCCTAGACGACCTGTTTCGTCTCCGCCTCGGCCCGTCGCCTGACCTCCCCGACTGGTACAGTCTGCTCCGTCATCGTGTAGATCTTTGATATGGACATGGATGAGATTAGCTCTGCTTTGTATGCGCTGTATGTTGATGAATCTAGTGTGACTTGTTCCTATTACACTATGTTGCCTAGCGTAGGTGTGCCTAGTGTGCCTAGTTCAGGCTCCCCTGCTGCGTCAGGCGTAGGATCCTCTGCCTTGTTTAGCCTAGGGTCCTCCCTCGCTCCTCCGACCTCTGTCGCCGCTGCCGTACTCTCCTTCACCCTGGACTCCGGCGCTTCCCGGTGTTTCTTTTGCGACTCCACGATGCTTACGCCGCTTGCCGCTCCTGCTGCAGTTGCCTGTAGCTCCACTACTCTCCCCTGCCCGACGGTTCCCTTAGGCTCCCTCGTTCTCTACGAACCTAGTTGGTGTCGGCTGCCTGTAGGACCTAAGTGTCACCACTACGTTCCTTGGGTACAAGCAGTATGCTGTCTGTATTGAGGCTGCCACAGGTGCCCCCCTCACCACGTTCCCCGGGACCCAGTGTCTGGCCTGTTCAAGCTGGACACCGCTCTCCGCCCGGTTAGGATGCCTCCCCAGGTACCCGCCTCTTCCCAGGTTGCTGCGGCATGCTCATGTCGGTCGCTTACTCACCCGTCACTTCTGTGGCACCACCGTCTAGGTCACCTCGCCCTCACCCGTCTCCGTCATATGTCCCAGCACCATCTTGTCCTAGGCCTCCCTGAGTCGCTCCCTGCGCTCCCCTCCTCACCCGCGCCTCCATGCACGCCCTATGTCGAGGGCGGGCTCCACCGTGCCCCTCAATCCTCCTCGTTCCCCCTACCTCCGCACCACTGCAGACCCTGCACATGGACGTCTGGGGCCCCACCTCCGTCCATGGGCAGCGTAGCGAGCGCTACTTCCTAGTGCTTGTCGACGACTACACCCGCTACACCAGCGTATTTCCCCTGGAGCGGAAGGCTGACATGCCTGACGTTCTTCTTCCGTGGCTTGTCTCTGCGTGTGTTCACCGAGGTCTCCCTGTCTTGCGTCTTCACTCCGACCGTGGTGGCGAGTTTCCTCTGGCTGCCTTAGTCGCTTCTGTCATGCGGAGGGCATCACCCAGACGTTCACCCTGCGAGACTCCCCACAGCAGAATGGGGTCGCTGAGCGACGCATGGGTTTGGTCATGGAGGTTGCTCGTACCTCCATGATCCATGCCAGTGCACCCCATTTTCTGTGGCCGTTCGCCGTTCGCTACGCCGCTCACCAGCTTAACCTCTGGCCGCACCCTCAGCGGTCGCACATTTCGCCGACCCTCCTCTGGACCGGGTCCCCTGGTGATGCGTCTGTGTTCCACGTCTGGGGCTGCCTTGCTCACGTTTGTGCCTCTGGCATGGACAAGCTCACTACCCGCAATGTCCCCTGTGTCTTCCTAGGTTTCCCCCTCGACTCGTCGGACTGGTAGTTCTACCACCCACCTTCTCACCAGTTCTTTCACTCTCGTAACGTCACTTTTGACAAGTCCGTCTCCTTCTACCACCGCTTTCAAGGTCCTAGCAAGTGAGAGTCTACAGGAACTAGACCAAGCTGCAAACAATGCCGCTGATCATCTTTAGGCGAAAGCGCCTTAGTAAAGATATCAGCTGTGTTGGCACCAGAGGCCAAGTGTACTATGCGGGCCTGGCAACACTGTTGTAAATGGATGTGCTTCGCTCTGCCCTCAAGTTGAGGCTCATGACACAGGAGGATCATGGAATTGTTGTCAGCGTACAGAACTGGGGCGGAACTAGGCCGCTCACCTAAGTCGGCGAGCAAGAAGGTCAGCCAGCGGAGCTCCTGTGCCGCCATGGCACCGGCGTAGATTTCAGCCTCACAACTAGACAAGGCAACAGAAGAGGAGCAATTGGACCACCACGAGATGGCACCAGAACCAAGGCTAAAGTAGTAGCCCTGGGAGAACCTAAGGGTCTCAGCGTCGTTTGCCCAAGAAGCGTCTATGTGCCTAGTAAGGACCTGTGGCCTGCGTCCTCCCAGTACTAACCCCATGCTCGATGTACTTGCAAGATAACGCAAAACCCTCTTAGCGGCCGACCAGTGCTATGGTCAGTGTTTGCCTGTGGCCACAAAGTGAGCCAGGATGCTGACAGGGTATGCGATCTGGACGAGCTCTAGTCATCAAGTACATGAGGTAACCCACAAGCTCTGCGTAAGGACCACCGGGCACTACTGAGTCCTCAGGAATTGGAGTAGAGAGCCTATGATCTACAAGCAGAGGTGTGGGCTGTGCGGAGGATAACAGAAGACCGAACCTTCGAAGGACCTGGCGCACCAAGTGTGACTGTGTGAGAGTGATGGTGCGCGCTGCTCTGTCCCTGGAGATCTGCAGGCCAAGGTAGCGGCGCAGCTCTCCTGGGTCAGTGTAGGTGTGTCTCCTCAGCAGCTCCGCCTTCACAACGGCCTGTGCATCTTTGTCTGCAGTAGCGTAAGACCAGGTCATCTACGAAGACAAGGATGTAGAACGGTCAGCCAGCAGCACAAACGAAGAGCGAGGGGTTGGTAGAGGATGGAAAGGACTGCTGGTCAGCTAGCAAAGTATGCAGCGTGTCGTGCCACTCATGGGGTGCGTGTCGCAAGCCGTAGACCGGGCGCCGGAGGAGCACTGGGTACCAGGACGGAAAGTACCGGTGAAGCCCTGTCGACAGCGCAGATAGACCTGCTCGTGTAGGCTACCCTGGAGAAAGGCAATGGAGAATCGAGGGAGTGTAACTCATAGTCACGCTGTGCTGCTACATGTAGCAGCGCCCGAAGAGTAGTCATCTTCAGGTTTGGGGCGAAGGTCTGAAAGAAGTCTACCCCCTCGTGCTCACTGAAGCCTCTAGCCACGTAGCGTGCCTTGAACTCAGGTGGCTCTCCAGGAAAGCGCTTCACCTTGAAGAGCCACCGGCCATCGACTACGTTCACCCCAGGTGGGGAACTGCATCAACATAGGTGCCGGTGGATCTCCAAGATGCCATCTCCTGCTCCATGGCAGCTATCCACTGAGAGGCCCAGGGTCCCGAGGTCGCCTCAGCGTAAGTGTGACGGGTCGGGATGTCAAAGGCGTCTGGGTCACCCTCAGGGACTAGCAGCATGGAATGGAGATGGGGAGCAGCCTCGGACAGGAAAGCAAGCTCGTACTGCCAGTCTTCTAGGACGTTACTGCCAAGGGCAGGAGCACCCCCGACAGACGGAGGACAGACAGGGTCAGGGACCTGAGTGGTGGCGTACTCAAGGTGGTGGGTAGAGGCAAATTCAGCGACATCAGCGACAAGAGCGTCAAGACTCGAGACAGGAACAGACGGGTCGGTAACGAGGGAGGCAAGGGCCCGAGAAACAAGAGGACGAGCGGCATGGAAGTAGTCAGACAGAGGGGGAGGCGCGACAGAAATGGACAACGGAGGAGGCTAGGGGAGGAGGGGAGGATGAGAGGCGTGGGAACGAAGCAACATAGGGTGAGAATGCTGAACAGGACAGACAGGACGAGCACAAGAGGGACGGCGAGACTAGACGTGAGTCAGAGGCATCTGGTCAGGAGACAGAGGAGGAGACACGAGAGGGGAACGAGGGGGAAGACGAGCCGGAGACGAGTCCGACGGAGGGAACACAGGGTTGTAGACAAGAAGAGGAAGAGGCGGCGGGGGAGGCGCAGGCGAGCGGTCAATGGGGAAGGCCGAGCAGGTGAAGGGCGGACATCGGCGGCGACTGGTGCTGCTGCTGCTGCTCGACGCCGACACCTGGACCGCCAGCTGCACCACGGCTACCTCCGGAACACTCCACTCCCGCACTCCAGGACGAGCATTCCCAGAGCGAGAACTCTCGCCAGCACCGGTGCCACCCTCAGGCCCGCCGGGAAAAGCCATGAAAGGAGCTCCACGACTAGCACCCTCCTCAACGCCAGCATCCCCAGAGTCCACGAACGGCGGCTGCTGTGGCGGCGGCATCTGCTGCTGCTGCGGTAGCTGCAACGATGGCTGCGGTGGCTACTGTGACGGCGACTGCGACTGCAGAGGAGGAGAACCAGGGGAGGACAGGCGACAAGAAAGGCACCTGGGGGCCACCAGAGTCAGCCGACTTTGCGACCGGGACAACCGATAGGAGGGGAGTGACGTGAGAGACACCAGACGGGGCAGGACGGGGAGGAAGGGGAGCAGGGGCTACCGGGGGAGTGGGAACTAGGAACAGGGGCGGGGTAACTAGTACACCTCGATGAGGGGAAACCAAGAGACCTTGGTGAAGAAAGCGGTGGTAAAAGGAGACAGACTCGTCGAAAGTAGCGTCACGGGAGTGAAAGAAACGGTGAGACGGCGGGTGGTAAAAGTGCCAATCAGACGAGTCCAGGGGGAAACTGAGGAAGACACAGGGGACAGTGCGGGCAGTGAGCTTGTCCATGCCAGAGGCACGAACGTGAGAAAGGCAGCCCCAGACGTGGAACGCGGACGCGTCACTAGGGAACCCAGTCCAGAGAAGGATCGGCGAAACCTGCGGCCGCTAGGAGCGCGGCCAGAGGTAAAGCTGGTGAGCAGCGTTGCGAACAGCGAACGGCCACAGAAAATGGGGTGCACCGGTGTGAATCATGGAGGGGCCACCTCCATGACCAAACCGATGCGTTGCTCAGCAACCTCATTCTGCTGTGGGGAGTCCAGTAGGGTGTACGACTGGGTGATGCCCTCCGGACGACATAGCTGTCCAAGCTGACCAGAGGCAAAATTGCCGCCATGGTCGGAGTGGAGAGACAGCATAGGGAGATTGCGGTGGAGACGCGCAGCTA